ACTCATTCATACGCAGCTGTCATTCGTACGGAAGGAAGTAAGCACAAGATGCCGAGCACCCTTAGCAGGATGCAGCGCACCCTTCATGCGACTCGCCGAATATCTCACGGCGCTTCGCGCTTGGTGATGTGAGAGCCTGGTCCGGTGAGAACCCGGCGTGCTCCGTCCCGGCTTTGTAGGGATGCGAGGTCAATGGNACGACTACGGCATGCACGACTATGAGTACACCCCACCACCACCACCACCCATTTTTCCTTTCGACACCAGGTACCTTGCCTGCGAACCTTCGTGCACACATGGCGCCGATGAAGGACCCTGGTTGACATTAACAGCGCCTACTTGTACAGTACAGCGGTACGTCAACATATATTCGGTGTTGTTCCACGGACCGGCACGTTTTACTAGAGTGCGTACGGATCACGTGATTCCACATATATATGTATTGCAGAGTTATATTAGTCTAGTTCTTTACCAAGCCAAGTGTGGAGACCACCTTCATAAAGGTTGAAACTCCCCAACGTCTGTCGAGGACGAACCCTCTTTTCCATAATGGCGTCGACGAAGAGATGTCAGCGTGTCTGCTCTTGGTTGCCAAAGACACGGGTTCAAAACCCGCTGCTCACCTAATGTTCTTCCGGAGTACGGAAAAAAAGAAGGACGGTGGGTGGGCCAAGAAACGATACATTGTCTGTCTATCGAACTCGAAACTTCTGGCAATGCGTGGCGGAAGTGGCGCAACCGCACACACGCACAGAAGATTGTTGGAAAAAAAGGGGGTTCTACTCACCGCCAGCCGGTCGGGTTCCGATTAACCCAAGAAGACGTCTCTTGCCTAGCAAGCAAGAGGAAGCCTCGAAGAAGGGGGGGGTAATGTGGAGACCACCTTCATAAAGGTTGAAACTCCCCAACGTCTGTCGAGGACGAAACCCTCTTTTCCACACAAGCCCGAATTCTTAAGAAGGACTATTACCACACTCACTCGTGATATGGGCAGGTTGAGAGCGCGTGTTCGTGAGTAGGACAGGGAATCTTCCGCGTGACTCCGAGTCAGAGCTCTTCGGTATGCATACGAGTAAGGGAATGGAAAAATATGAGAAAAACGCCAACAAACTATTAGACTAGACTATTTATCATACAGCCGGTGACAGGACGTAGTCTACATGTATGAACATACACCCACCTGTGGGGGACTTACAAGTTGTTGTTGTTTGTTTTTCTCCCATGATCGGATTCTGTCGTCTGCCCCTCTGGCCCCTATCCTCCACTTCTACTAGCTAGACGACCCAACCGGGGTCACATAGGAGGGGGGACCTGGACCCCCTCCTGCGGTTCCTGCCTGAGGTATTTTTATCGCGAGAAGGGTGAGTGCCAATGAATGGACGAAAGTCGGCAGTTTCGTTGTTGGAAAAACGGATAAGAAACTTGATGATGAAGGCAAACCTGGAATATCAAAGGCATTGTTGTTCAGGAGATATTAAAAACGGATCGAGCCACGGCAAGTTATATAGTTGGTTGTTGGTATATCCTTGAATCACAGGAAGATGATTTGACGTTATCTACCCGTCGCCCGAGAGGTCTGACTTTTGTTTACATAGACAACAACCAAATCTGATGATTGTTGCAGTGAATAATGCACAATATACAGTCTCTACCAACGAGATGAATTTTCGAGGATACGTCCCAAAAAGAAAGAAAGGTATGCATAGAACGAGAGAAAGAGACGAACGAGCTTTGAGCTCGAGAGCGAAATGGGACTAGGGGTCACGTGGAAATACATCATTGTGTAGGTATGCCGGGGCAGAATAGTGTACTTTCTGGGTGGCCCCTTCCACGTCACGCGAAGCACGTCCACCACGCACACTGCAAGCGTGAGCTGTAACACCGAGTACCCGGAGCAGCGAGAGTTACACGAGGTATTGCAAAGTAGGAACGGCAAAAGAAAGCGGGAGATTTTCTGCCGTGACTGCTGTTTGCTGTTGGCATTCGACATAACAGCGGCTTGTTTTGAAAAATAAGGCGGCGCGTGCAGGGTCCGCTCTTCTTCAACTTTCTCTCTCCCCTCATAAACACACTCAGACGCGGCGTTACCGTTTACCCTGCCCCCCCCCGTACGCATACGTCGCCGTCCGCACAGCTCCTTGAACAGAGACTGAACTCGCTTGGTGCAACTTGCATTGCACTGCTACCGAAAGGGCTGCGTGCGTGTGCGGCACCAAAAACTCCGCGCCAACGGAGAATGAATCATCATAGTTCGCCCTGGGCACACGATGATGGTGGTTTCCATCACCATCATCTTCAGCAAGCAGCAGGAACGGACTCCAAACCGACTCCCGGAGAGCGGCAGCGTCAAGGCTGGCTACTGGCCGAGCAGCCTGCTGGCGTGGGGGGTTGGGGTGGAAGTAGCGGATGCGGCAATCAAGCTTTAGATGACGCGATGGACCGTTTCGGCGGGATGACTCTAGGGTCTGATGTCGCCGGCAGTGGTGATGGCGGCGGGGCAGATGACCTAGACATGAGTTCGCTGCGACTGGCAGAGGGAGCAAGAGCTGGGGGGTCAGGCTTCGGTCTCTCTGCTGTTGCGCAGGTGAGACACAAGCAGAAAAGAGGCCAGAAACGTATTGCAAACCAAACATCAATCCCATTTCCAGCACCGCTCGCAGATGTCGCCCAGAGGACCGATGATGTCTGCTGCTGTAACACCTCATCTCCATCTGTATCGGCATCTCGGAACCCCGAGTCTTTCGTTTTTGGGAAATTTCCCGTCGTACTGTACCAAGAACAGCACACAAAACACCGAAAGTCTACCCGTGTTCGAGATTCTTCTTCTCCGCTCGACTCATGATGCCCAACTTTCTCAGTTCGGGAAGTTGTCGGTAAGGAATCTGAACCTAAAGTAGGAACGAGCTCGATGACGTCACCTCGAAAAACACGAAGTCCGCGCTCACACTGCATCCATGCAATCTGTACGCATCGTAGCGTACGGCATAAAAAAGGGTGTTGGTTGGGTACTGTAGACTACACAATTAAATCTTGGTCTCTGTTGGAATCGACGCGCTGCATAGCTCGTTGTTAGTAAACTTGATGACTTCATAAGTCGCGAGGGAAGGGGATTGCTGTACCCTTCTCGCGGTAAAAATATCTCAGGCAGGAACCGCAGGAGGGGGTCCAACCCCCCGCTCCCATGTGTCCCCGGTTGGGTCGTCTAGCTAGTAGAAATGGAGGATCGGGGCCAGAGGGGCAGACGACAGAGTCCAATGATGGGAGAAAAATATGTATATTTATATACTGTAGCTCGGTCGGTTCTTTTGCAAAATGAAAGGAGCATCAACATGCGGGGGAGCCCGATGACTAGAAAGCGTGGTTGCCTAATTTCACCCCGCTCCAACACTGGCGCCTTTTCGTTGGCCAGCCGGATAGCGCGGTCGATGGTAACTAAAGAAACGCACATTCGCACACCTAAGAGAAAGTTGGGGGGGCACAGGAGAGAGCAGGCAGCAACAGCACCATTTTGAGTCAATTTGAACAACGCCTATTTTTCGCAAGCGTGCGGATCTTGTCTCCTTCTTTGGTGAGCGTCAGCTACATACTGCCTTATTTTTACTAGTAGGATTTGGTCGGGTTCAAGCTTTCTCTTAGTATCTATAGGTATGCGCATGTGTCTGCGACTTTGAACCGTCGTGGTCTCGACTTCCATGTTCCTAGCTGTAGTCATCAGACACACGTCGCTATGATGAATAGAGAGGTTCTTCCTTGCGGTTCTGGGATTCTGTCCAACAACCTGTTGCCTAGTCTACTCCCCCCCACCCCCCCACCCCGCGACGTACGAAGCGTTCATCCACGAAGTCTCCTTTTCTTGGTCAGTCGGGTAGCGCGTTTGATGCCAAAAACGAAACACGAGAGAGAGGCAACCCAGGACACGCCGCAGAGTAGTGTAGTGGTTCCCTGTCGGCGGAACCCGTGGATTAAGGAGGCGTTATGCTACATCTGCAGTATTTTTTTTTGTCACGGTTATGCTGGAGCTTTTTGGTTGGGCGGCCGGTTGGCGCCGCGAGTTGGAAGGGATTAAACGCGCACACGCCCACGGAAACGTTCTGTTCGTCAATCGTCTGGCGAAGTCTGGGTTGCGGCTACCAACGCCGGCGCTTGGGAATCGGGACGAAACCACGCGTTCACGGGTGTTTGATGAGGGTGCTTGTTCGTGTCGTAACAGAAAGTCCCCTTCCTCACCCCCGACGCACCCGGCTGGCCTGGCTGCTGTTGTTGCTGTGCACCAGAACCCTTTCTCGAGCACCCGATGCCAGCAACAACAGCAACAACCACAGCAGCAGCAGCAGCAGCAGCAGCAACAACATCAACATCAGCATCCTCCAGCATCGCTGCTTTTGGAGAACGGCGGGATGAGGTCGCTTGAACAGCGCAACCCTCTGGGGTTTTCTAGCCCAGCAGCAGCGGCGGCGGCAGCAGCAGCAGCCGGCAACGGCAGCGATGTCGGTGTCGGTTGCTGCTCCTCTTGCGGGGTGGGAAGACAGCAGCAGTTGGCGGGAAGGGGCGTGGGGGCGCGGCGAGGACCGGACGGCGCCTGGCTTGATGACGAGGATCGGAGGCTTTACACAGATGGGGAGGTAAGCGAGGAACGGAGAGTTGTCCGGGGACGTCCGTTGCAGGTTGCGTCTGTTTCGTGCGGATGGTGCGTGCAACGAATGGCAGAGGGGTGCTGGATTTCCCTGTTTTTTTGTTTCTGTTTTCGTGGACTGGCTTGTTCGTGCTTGCCAGGGGCGGGAGGTGAGACCAGGGGCGGGACGGCGGCCGGTTATTCCCGCGCGGAAGCAGGGGTACAAAAGCATACTGTGATTACATTCGTGTGAGGATGGCGTTGGCAGGCGTTGGCCTTCACATGACGATGCTAGAGGGCTTGATGTGGTCGTCTGGCGGAGCAGGCCGAGGCCTAGGGTTTCCTAGGGACTTGTTCCCTCGTTAGCTTGAGGTCGGCAAGTCCCCACTACAACGCCATCATTCCGTGCCCTTACATCAAAGTCTGCAGAAGTGATCAAACCTGCGGAGCCGTCGTTAAGAGCAACGCTAGCAGTGTCTGGGTCGTGAAACACGCCAGGCCTACGGGTCACCCATCCTATGTTGGACTGGGGGGTTGTTGCCATCGACACTGGTGAGGCAGCCAACGGGTTGTTGTTTCCACCCCCATGTTCCATCATCTCCGGCTGAGGTAATTCGCTTCCACATAATCCTGTTTGCTCCAAACTGCTGCTGCTGCTTGTGTCAGGTGCGCGAGGCAATAGAGCAGGAGGTGAGGGGCTGGCGTGATAAGTGCTCATCGTTGGAGACCTCCATGGCTAACCTGGAGACGGAAACGAAGGCGGCTCTCATGAGGGCCGAGCAGGTGTGTGCGTGCGTGCGTAACACGCGCTCCCTCCCTTCATTTTTGACCGACCTCTCTAGCGGAAGAGGTTGCTCTTACATATTTTTTTTTTCTCCCATCATTGGACTCTGTCGTCTGCCCCTCTGGCCCCTATCCTCCACTTCTACTAGCTAGACGACCCAACCGGGGTCATGCAGGAGGGGGCGGTGGACCCCCTCCTGCGGTTCTTACATGTAGCCGGCCAAAAAACGCACAGCAATAGTCGGCTTGGCAAGGGGAGCAACGGGGGAACCTGGACGAATTGACGAACCTCCGGTGTGTGTGTCTTCATTGTCAGCATCGACTGCGCTAACCGGCTGACCAATGAAAAACAGTCTCAGTTCGGTTGAAAACACAACAGTGCTTCTGAAGGACGGGCCGTGATGGGGGAGACTAAGTTACTCTCCGGATTTAAGACAAGAAACGGTAGCAACAGAATAAAATTGCACGAGTTTACCATCAACCGCGCGCGCAAGCGCAAACCGGCTGACCAATGAAAAGACGTCGGTGCCAGCGTGTAAGATCAAGGTCGTTGGAGGGGGGCCAAGAATCGAAAATGCCATATGAGTGTGCGCCCGTTGTTTCGAGTATGAGCTGGTCCATAGAACCTTGACATCCCGCCCTCCCCGGCAAATTCAGGAGGTATGAGGGTGTGCAGCCTAACTCCAGCGGCTACATGCACGATGACGAGCACCCTCCCACCGGCCCCCCTATTTCGCGACCCGAAAACAGGCTATCGCCGAGATGACCGAGCAACTTAAAGCTGCGGAAGGCAAGACGTACGCCCTCTCGGTCCATTTGGCCCAATCGAATCGTCCGCCCCACCTCGCATGATGTTTCTTCTTTGGTAACGACGGCGGTTAATAGGACCGCACGTAAGATCATGGTTTTCGGCAATATTGTTTTTTTCCTCTGTTCGTTCCCGTTTTTTGTAGACGTATCTGAGAAAATGTTCCAGAATGGTTTGTCTGAAATATCTGAAACATGTCTTTTGTCTGTCGCGGTTGCTGCACTCGCACGACCCTCGGACACAAGTCACATTGCTCGCGTGTTGTCGACGTAGAATCACCGGCGCACGAGGGGTATAGGGTCCGGTCTTGGCCAAGCAAATATTGTTCAGCACCAGCGACCGTATCCTGAATCGAAAAATTTCGCGCGAAATATTCTTACGGATACTGTAGGGGGGGTGTACTCATAGTCTTGCATGCCGAAGTCGTTAGACCATTGACCTCGCACGCCGGGTTATCACCGGACTAGGCTCTCACATCACCGAGCGCGAAGCGCCGTGAGGTATTCGGCGAGTTGCATGAAGAGTGCGCTGCATCCTGGATACTGAAGGGGGGGCATTGTTTTCGGAGGATAGCCACCGGAGGTTGTTCTTGATGGAATAGTTTCGATTGTTTGCGCATGCGTGTTTGTCGTGCTCAGAGATGTGGCGCTCACAGAGACTTGGCGCTTACATGCTTTGGCAGGTGCTTTCAGAGCATTGTTTTGTCGCAGCCCTGACGGCCGAAACGTACGAAATACGATCCACAATCCGAAATAGAGGGATCGGCGGTGACTACTGTAGGAGGGGGGCGGATAGGAGTATTGCGCGACGATCTCCTGGTTTGATTTCGTGCTCATGTTGCAAGTGCTTGGGGATAGATTGCACCGCATCTGTAGGACACGACACGATCTTGGTACGTTGTTTCTTCGTATCCTTTCGATCTGTCAAATGTTTAGCGTGCCTCGTGCGATGTTGGTCGTTTTTTTTCTTTGGTCTTTCGGACGTCTTTTTGGTGCCTTGTACAACGTTTTTGTCCTTGGACTCGGTTTCAAGCTTTGAAAGTCGAAATTCTCACGGAACCGAGGTCTTGTCGGTTGTCAAAGAGGCCATGTTGTTGAACCAAGTACCGTATTTCGATCGTCTCGACGTCTAGAGCGTCATGAACGATATATTTCCCGCTGTCAACGCGTGATTTTTGCCTCGACTCTTTAGGACAGGCTGCCTTTGATGCACCGTGCCGATTCAGAGCGGACAAGTTTTTGACAGTATGATCCCATCCTCCTGCAACGATGCAAGAAGCAACATGCAAAACAGTTTCCTGGGTCAGAGGAGGTCGGGAGGTGGGTACCAAGCTATTTTCAGCTACATGATGGCAAATCACTCCTAGCTCCTTCGCACAATCGTCACCAAGAGAGGCGGGGCATCGTCGACATATTTTCATACTTCTATACATTTTCAATCCTTTATTGGACGGGAGTTAAGTACGATGTTAGACCGGGTGTGTAATTCATGCACTACAACCACGAATCTCGAAAATTGTTTCGGGCCGTTGGCGTTGCCGTACGCAAAACCATCGTTGCAGTACGGACGTGCGGTTGCGCTGTCCGTCAGCGGCTTGTAGCATAGCTCCGATCCCCATGACACAGGAACGTCGGCTTATCCTGAGTGAGGAGGAAGGGAGAGGTGTTTTCTTTTCATGTCTGTGTATCACCCCAGCCACGCCTCATGCACACACCGGACCAAGTCAAAATAGGTCGGACATTGGGGTAGAGCAAATAACCTAGACTGTGGGGCAAGCCAGAATGGCGTTGCAACGACCACTGACGAAGCGACGTTCGCCCGGGTGACGGAACTCGTCACTTGGTTGAGATGAAAATCAGGCCACGGATTTGCATGTTTATCGATTTCTACGCCCCCTCAAATCGTGGAGATAATTTCGCCACAAACACGGACGAAGCCATCCCATTCCAACTACTGTTTCTGCACAGACAGTGATACGTAGCGATACACACTTGATCTTAATAGACTATGCAACATGGTATAGTTGTAGACGTACATCTTGTTTTGGTATCGCCGCACCCCTCCGCCTCAGTTTTCGCGTCGTTACACCCCAGAACTACAGTATACACCCAACCAAAGGGGACAGAGCCGGCCAGAGCAGCGCAACCACCGTCTCTCTCTCTCTCTCTCTCTCTCTCTCTCTCTCTCTCTCTCTCTCTCTCTCTCT